ATAGAACCAAATAAGAAAATTTTACCGGTAATTCTGTGGATAACGCGCATGTCTTTTTACCCGACTGCGCGACGCAGAGGAGGGTAATGTGTTTATTATCAGTCTATGTATGTATGTATGTTTGTATTTATGTTTGTTTCTATGTAGCATTCTAGAGACCAAATGCGTGGGCCGATTTTGGTGATTCTTACGTCAATCGATTCGTCTTAACCTTGCGAGTGTCACTAAAGACATGATGAGTAATCAAAATTCACCACAGCGACAACCATGAAAAATGAAAAAAATAAAATCGACGAACTATGTCAAGTGGGGTGTCGTTGAATAGGTATTTTAAAATCATCTTTAGGTTCATTTTATCACTTTTCATTTTAAATAATAGTTTAGGATATATTACGATTTAAAGTTGTTTAACAAAACAATCAAATTCGCTAATTTTCTTACTTATTGATTTAAGTTTTTATTTAAAGTATAAACGATATACAAACAAAAAAAGTTTAAAATAAAAATAAATAATTTAAAGAAAAACAAAATACCCGACTGCGTAAAAACAAATTTAAAAAAATACATGAAATATTAACTTAAATAAAAACTAAAAAGAAAATAATTTATTTTTAAATTATTTATTTTTTAGAATATTCGAGTTACTCTTTTTTCCATTTTAGTGCGCATAATGGTGTGATATTCTGCAATGTTTTCAATTTGTAGGTATCAAACGAATATCGAACTTATTTTTTTCGCCCAATTTTTTATTTATATCTAATACTTTGAATTTCAATTGTAATTTAAGATACCATTGCAATTTAAGAAGATGAAAGACTGTTTCCTACCATTAGTAGCTCATATCAAGTGCGTTTTGATTTTTAGTCATTCATAATAATCAATAGTATATTTAATACATTTTTCGCATACATAATTTAACGCCCCTTGGTTATGTATTAAAGTATCTCATTAATATCTCGCATATATTATTTTGTCGTCCCATAAATAATTTAACAGAGATTTTTTTTGTGGATAATGTTACGGGAAACTTTTTTTATGGACAATGTTACGGGACACATTATCCACAAAAATAACACGTTTTTTATTATCAAAGTGGTTGTTCAAAATTTTCGAGTTAAATTCATTTGTAGCGCTAACTTCAGTGTGATAATTTCCTATTAAATTTGTTATAAATAAATACAACTGCCGTATCAATTCAAAAGATTGTCTTCCCACATCCCTAATATTTTTGATAAACCTATTTGACGATACCCCACGCAATTATTTTTCATTCTCATCTTTACATGAAGGGGACTTTTTTAAAGTTTTTTTGTTACCAGCTTATCGGCGTGATTAAAGTACTCACATTCTAAATCAAACCTTTCCAATACAAACTGTTTTTGAGCGAAACCTTAGACCGACGCGACGTTCAGATAGACAGACATGACGAAACTATAAGATTACCTTGTTGACCATGGAACCGCAAAATTAAAAACAAAAGCTGCTTTGTTTGATAAAAATCGGCAAAAATAAAGAATATAAACATAACAAAAATTAAAATATTGTATAAAAGTATAGTAGCGTAAGCTAAATGTAACATTTTTGTGTAACAAACCAATATAATATACATTTAATATTAGCGACAACGATTGTACCGATTTGAATTATTAAAAACATTTGAGGTGGTGGTGATGTAGGTACACTACACATTATTTAATCCCGTGTAAACAGTTTAAATCAATTCAGAATGGATCCTGAAAAGGATTACATGGAATACCTATAATTACATTGACAAATTGAATTGTAAAAAATAGTTACTATTGTAAGGATTTAATGTTTTGTATACGAACTTCCACTCCCATTTTCATCCTTTAGTGTGCTTTTTTTGGAATAAGATATAAGATGGACATATGTTGCTCGGCACTTTTTTTTAGAAATTTAAAAGGGGATCAATATCGTATATATACAAAATTTGTGTAACTTTCACCATTTACGTAGCGTATGCGAGGAAAATGTTCTCCCGTTTTAGCAACAGTTTTCAAAGCTGTTCCACTCCCATAAGTCATCGCAAGATGTTATATAGTCTATAGCCTTCCTTGATAAATGGACTATTCAACACAAAAAAAAATCCATTCGTTCCAGTAGTTCCTGAGATCATAGAGAAACAAACAAACTCTTCAGCTTTATTATTAGTAATATAGTTATAATAGAAATTAAGTTTCCATTTTGAAATAAGCATAATATATAACTAAGATCATTGATTAAAATCAAAGATTATTCGATAAGATTCAATAAAAGAAAATGGCTTAACTTAGCTTAGCTTGTTAAAATAATTCTATTTGCTGTTATACGTAACCTCTTATTGCACTTTATAACACTACTAACACAGTACGAAAATATATTTATGATCAAAATTTTATTGCGAAAAATTATAATTAGTTTATTTCATATTATCACGAGTAATACATTAAACATAACTTCAGGAATTACTTTTCTGAAGTTGCCAACAACAACTTTGTTGTAAAATTGTACTAAACCGCTAATATACTTTTAGATATTTACTTTCAATGCTATTCTGTTAAAAACACAGCGTCGAACAAAGCGCTATCACAGGATTCCAGATATAATCAATAAAACCTATTTCGAAAGGTGTGTACCGTCGAATACAGCGCTGTCGCAGTATTAGAAGATAACGTCAATACGATTGTCATATGACGTTGATAGGTAAAATAGTAGCTTATTTATTTCTTATAACGTTTTCTTCTGTATGTAGAAATAATTATTAAAAAAAACAATAATTGTAATCGATTATAACTAAAAACTAATAAAGTATGAGATAATGTTTTTATGAGGCGATTAATTATATTTTTATGAGAAAAGGATAGAGGACGTAAACGATTTTAGTAGAATGTTACGAAAAAATATAAAGTTATAATAATCATACTTAAAGTATATTGTTCAGTATTAGTATTGTTTAGTATTAAAGTATAAGCAATGCTTTAATTTCAAAATATGTTATCTTTTACCAAATTGCTTTATAACAATTTCTTTCCTAATACTTCGATTTCGTACAACGTTATGTTCTATCTTCTTTTTCAAGTGTCTTATTTGTTAAGTGTAGCTTATTTTGTGACTCTAGTTACAATTTTTTTTATGATTCGAAGACATTGCACCAGTTACCGGACACATTTGATGTTGTCAAATTGATGAGTGAACCTATCCAGAGGGTTAATGCTGCTCGTAATCTGGGGTTTCATTTTGATGCATCCTTACGATATGAGGGTCACATAGCTGGCACTGTGTAAAACTGTTTTTATAGACTTAAAGAACTTTATAGAATTAGACCCTTCATATCAGAGAAGCTGCGTGTGCGATTGGTTGAGTTTCTGGTATTGGCCAAGCTTAATTATGCAGATGTTGTATACGGAACTCGTTTTGTAAAGGACACCGAGCCACGCCGCGACAACAGCGCCACCAACGGAGAAACAAAGAAACCTTCCCCTCCCCGCGCGGTGCGGGGTAGCGTACCCCCTTTTAAGGAATCTAATAAGACTAACTGATTTATGTATGAGCTAAGTGCGATCAATCAAATTGTATATAAGAAATCGATTTTGCGCAATAAAGCATGTTCGCCCTTCGAACGTTCTCCGAGTTTCTCCGAACTAAGTGTTTTACTCGAAACCTCTGCTACCTGCCTGCTTTCATATCCAGCTACAGTCCATCTGCTACACGTCTGTTGGCCAGAACAAACCGGCTTATACAAAAATTGCAAAACGCTTGTGCTCGGTTTTGCTTCACAATACCGTGTAGAAGTTATGTCACACCGTTCCTAAATAAACATTACATTCTAAAAATGAAGTCTAGACGCAAAATGCATCTCGCTACCCTACTTTTTGGCATCATAAAATCTGGAGAACCCTCACATATTTAATAGTAAACTTGTCTGGTTATGTGGTCAGAGGGAACATAACAGAAGGCAACATGGCAACCGCGTCACATAGAACTGCATCATTCAGGGGTAGTTTTCGCTACGCAGCTTCTAAAATATGGAATAACATTCCCCCGCCTATGAGAAACTGTAATACTTTCTTTACCATCAAAAAACACTTGCGTCGTTATTTAATGAATGCGCAACAAAAGCTGGGTAACATCAACATGGATGTTTCTTACTTATAGGATACGAAGCAATATTGGGCGAGCACGTAGTGTGGGCTGAGTCGCGTAATCTTCTGTGATTTTTTTCTTTTCCGTTAACGGGTGATCTGCTCTGGTCAATGATGGTAGGAGACTTAAAACTTAAATCTTCAAATTATATCAATAAATAAAAAAATATCTTCTCAATGTAACAACCTTTTTTTTATCTGGATATTTTTAATATATTAAGTTCTATTTTTTCTTCTATCTATTAAATACTATTCTATCTTATTAAATACTAGCTTTCGCCAGCGCCTTCGCCCGCGTGGACCCTAGAGAAATGTTTAGTGGGATAAAAAGTATCCTATTATCTAAGTCAGCTAATACCCTATCTGTATACCAAATTTCATCAAAATCCGTTCAGTAGTTTCGGCGTGATTGACCGACAAACATCCAAACAAAGAAACTTTCACATTTATAATATTAATAGAAAAGGATATTAATTTTATATTGATAAGAAATAACTAATTGCAACTGTGACAGTGACTGAGGACGCTCTTTGTGACACAGTAGCATTGCATGTTATCACACTTTTTGGTAGCCGTTTTGGGGTCCGTGGGTCAGAAGAAGGGTGATAGTTGAAAATCAGCGTCAGCCCTAGCTGACTAATGCTGAACTAGTCACCCTTTTTAGTGCAGTCAGCCATTAAAGTAATTATCTGAGTACAGTGGGTATTACCTGAATAGGTAGATATATTATTAAACATAGTAGATATACCAGACTACCTGCATAGTAATTAAAATATAATAGACGTACGTATTCGTGTATACACTGCTTTAAAAATAAGTAAACAAAATAATAAACAATATAATTGTTTTACTTTTATTATAATTATTACACAACAAAAACAATTTTTAAAATGCATAAAACCACCAGCCTATAGTCGACACGCTACTTCAGAAATAAACAAATAAATAATAACAATACAATATATATAAATAAACGAGTGTATACGTAGCTCTTTCGTATATCGTATATTATGATGTGATATTATATATTATTTGAAAAAAATAACAAATATCGCTATTTCATAACGATAACTGATTAACAATTGATTAATTTTGACTAGATTATATCTATAACATTTTATTGTCTTCTATATGTAGATATTACGGAGGCAGTCATTAAGTATTACTGGTGTAAAATATATCGACTTATATTACTTCTTTTTAGCTTGGTGTAAATAAAGATATTGATAGCAAGTCTGTTGTATTATTCTCTAACTTAAATAAAAATACCTATAATTTCAATTTTGCTTTGTCGAATGTTCTTCTGTAGTCACCATACCACTGTATACTATAACTAAGTTTACTGCTGTTATCTTAATTGTTGACAAAATTAAAACGGACTTTGACAGTAATAAAATTAATTTCAGTCTAATTTGTACAACAGAATTGCTACCAAGAAGAAAATAGACTTAAACCTATATTTTATTAAAAATAAACTTAACAATTGCCGTTGTCGGCTTTTTAAGCCCAAAGTGGAAAGTCTAGTATAGATAAAAAATGCTTATTTTTGTCATAATTGTTTTTGTTTTGGTTTTCGTTTCATTTTAAAATATTTCTGTTTCTATTTAACCGACCAGAGTAAAAATCAGATACAATCAGATTTAAAAAAGTATAATATTTTCATAAACGAGCAATTTAATTATTTTTAAATTAGCATACAAAGGTATCCTACAAGTTAGCTTTAAATCTACTTTACAAACTAGACTAGGAAACCTTAAGGTAAGTGAGCGGATTTGACATGTGGATATTAATCATGGCTTACTATCCGGTGGGTTGAAGAATTCCCAGTGATGGTGATGTATCGTACGACTGTCACTGAGTCCAAACATAATGAGCCCTGCTATAAGTACGAGAAATATCACCAACGCCATCTGTACATCCTTTTTGTCCTCCGTTCCGCTAATGTATGACATGAAAGAGTTGAACATATTCCTGAAAACTCGACTTATAGAGCTCTGACATACTCTTAAGAATTGTGCACCAGCTTCGCCTATAGTGGGTTCATGTGTTCTTACTGGAGGAGGCATACGTCTGGGCGAGGGTCGCGGCTTATTGTCTTCGGAACTGGACTCGGAATGAGGAGTGGCAGGTTTTCTCTTTGGGCGGCGCACTTGTGGGGGAGGTGAATGATGCTGCATATCGGGGTACTCCGTGAAAGGACGTTCTCTAAATACCCGTGGGGGAAAAAAAGTTGTGGGTGGTATATTTATATCCTGGAGGTAAGAGTAAAGCAGGGGCGTTAGGTCAGGAGGAGGTGGTCTTTGAGGAGGCGGTGTACCGGCTAGTTCGGGCTCGGGATGAGATGGAGGTGGAGGAGGGGGTGGGAGAGGGGGTTCTTCTGCCGTCATTTGGTTTTCTTCTGTTTTAGTTTCCTTAATTGTTTCCGGAGGACTATCAGTTTGGGTATGTTCTTCTCTACTAACCGATCTCGGAATTTCTACAGATTCCGAAGACTGTACAGAAACTTGATTTGTTGTTATCTCGGCAAATTTCTTTACGATTTCGTCGATAACTGACTGTGAAAATTCAATTCCACTAACAGATATGTGGCCCGATTTGGAGTCGAGTTCAGTGACTTGTAAAGTCATGCCTTCTATATCGGAAACTGAAATCTTGCTTGCTTGTAATTCAGACACATTTAAGCGTCCAACATCTAAATCTCTTACTTGAAGTCGTTGAGTTACCAAATTATCTAAATGGATATCTCGACTAGTATCACTTACCCTTTCCAGGGCACGTTCATCACTTGGAGGTGTCATGACTTTTGATTTTTGAATTGGACTTGAAATGTTTCTTGATTTAGGTAGAGGTGGTACATCAGGAATTTGTGATTCGTCAATATCTATATGCTGTACAGTCAATGAGGCTTCTGTTAACATTTCTTCTTTTTCATTTATCCGAGTTGGACTTGAAACGCGTCTTTCAACTAAAATAACAGTTGGCGATGTACGGCCTATATTTGTTTTAGCTAGTTCAGAAATTTTTGGATCAGAAAGTTTCAATGATTTTTCTGACCGAGATGTTGGCCGTGAAACTCTAGGGCTTTCTGTCATTCTACCCATAGATTTACCTACAATAGAGTCTTCGTCTACTATATCTCTTAAAGAACTAGACATTGAAAGGTCGAGATTATCATCCATACCAAGTTCATAATCTACATCATCTGGTAAAGGATCTGTTTGAGTTGAAACTTCTATTTCAACAATATCTTCTGGTTTTGTTTCCTCTTTCATATCAGAAGCTAATTGTGTGGATACGCCGTTAACTTCTGACATAGTTTTGAGTCCTGTAACAGTTTGGTGTTCCATTTCAGCTTGATTCTTTTTTCTTTTTGGCCCTCTAGGCGGTCGTGGTGGTGGTGGTAAAGGCCTATCTTTCATTTTACTTACTATTTCTCCAGATTTTAAATCTTTGTGTACTTCTTCTATTTGCGGTTCCTCAATTTCTACATACTGCGTTAAATCTCCACTAATTGACCGTTTTGTAAAACTGTCCAAAGTCATAAGACTAGTAGAAGATTTTTTCCGGGGTGGTCGATCAGGAACAGTTTTAGTTGAGCCGACGGTGTAATACTTACGCTCCGAACTATTACTTTTTCGACGACGTACAGGTGGAGTTTTACTAATTGATCTTCTTATTGGCTTAGCTGGGACATTCTGACCCTTATCTACTGTAGCATATCCTGGGCTTTCATGTCGAATTTCCCTTACTAGATCTATTTCATCAGTTTGTGGTATATGTGTATCAAGAGTAAGGGATTCTGCCCCATGGGAAGTTCTGTCGTCATCGCAGAGGGAGGTACCTCTGGAGCTTCTAGAACGGTTACGCCTTGGTGGAACTGGGCTCTGACTAGTAAATGTTGTGTCCACTTGAGGCACGATATATTCATGTTCGGTACGATATACGATTATCTGAAAATAAAAAGTACATGATATAAGTGATATGTTTATTATATTTATAATCTGGAAAAATGTATAATCAATCCTACGCTACATTTATTTAGCTTCTATCGAAACTGACATTATTTTGGTGTGAATGTTAAAATCAAGTGAACACATTTACCGCTCTAAAGTGCCCTAGCCTATATACTGTATGTTATCAATGTGTGCTAGTAATATTTCATTTTACATCAACTTTCAGAAAAAAAAAGATTCAAAGTTGGCCTGTGTACAAAACTTAATAATAATGTGTACAAATTATATACAAATACAATCTGGGACTCTTCAAGTCAAGAGTGAATCGGTTCCTTCTAGGCAAGCACGCTCCATCTTAGACCACTGTATTGCTTACCATCAGGTGATCTGTGGTCAAGTGCTTGCCTATCTAGAATAAAAAGAAAAAGAAAAATTGTACAAAACTCAATAATATATATATTAGAAATGAAATTATTATATCCTTGTGTGGATCAGCGTCCATAAAGTAATTTGTTAATACCCTGTAAGTTACATGAATGCCATTACCTACCTAACTGAAGAAAAGTACCTAAATGTGAAAATAAAGCTTGGCCAGACATAGTGTTCCAAGTTCATAGATAATTTTTGAGATCAAGCTTTGAACTAGGAAATTAAAAAAGTAATGGTGGCAATTCTGTCAAATATAAGACTTTATTGAATTTTAATCAAATCAAACGTTTTTATTATGTTACTGTGATAACAGAAATAATCTTTTTTAATAAAAAAAATAAATCTAAAATGTTAATTATTTCAGTGGTACTGCAAAATTGGTACAAACATTTTACTTTTCTTAACAGAAACTTTGTATTAAAGGAGCGGAATCGAGAAGATTGTATTTATTAGATCTAATAATGAAACTTAATTGAATCCCATTAGGTTTCATCTTAAGATGATTTAGATAAGTATTTGTTGTGTTTATGTGGTCATTGTTTATTGGTTCAACAGATCTATTAACGATAATAACTTAGTTATAAAATATTAAAAAAATATCATCAATATTTATTTTGCAGTGCTAGCCTAATGTAAATCTGATTAATAATTTATGAATCAGAATCTGACAAAATCATTAAAATCAATTAATCATTGTATTTATATATTACATAATTGATATTACAGTTATATCCAAAGCAAATCAATTACATAGGTACTAATTAATATAAATAAGTATTATAGGTAAAACTGTTATTATGGATCGAACCACAGAATGAAAGTTTATATTAAAATCAAATATGCGTACTTGATGTGCTATTCTATTAAATGGAATGAATATTATTTTTGTGCCCAAAAATCAAGGTATATTAAGCGTTATATCAACAACATCATCTATCAAAAGTCAAATGATAAGTTTTAACTATCAATAGATGACGTAGTACCTACCTAATTTGATGATTTATATTTTTCTATTTATTGTTATTAATTTATTATTTAACGTTTCGACAGGATTGTTATACCTACCTATTCTGACATTTAATATTTGTGTTGAATGAAATTCCAGAACATTTAGTTTAATTCATTTCTATTTATATATTAAATTGTATTATTTTAATTTATCTATTGTTCGAATTGCACGATAATTATAATTTTAATTCAGAACGTAGTCAAAATTATAAAACATGTTTTTGCATGCTCTTTGATATGGCTAAATAATCACTCAAACATTAATATGTTGACATATAAACTGTACTTATTTCAAATTAATTATTATTAATGGGTTAATATTTTTTATAAATTGCCGATATCCTATAAGTATTTAAATTTTATTTTTTAGCAATTTAATGAGTAATTATAATAGTCTACTATGTATTTTTTACCTTATACTAATAAATTATTTTACCGGTTAAATGTCTAATTCAGTTAAAATAATATCGTGTCATAAATGTTATACAAATATATTCATTAAGATGGACAAAAAATATATAAAAAAATACTTAACGTATTTGAACAATAGTGCCGACTACTAATAGTCGAAAAGAATCTACGTAACTAACTACGTTTTATAATCCTGACGACCAAATAAAATTATAATAACACAAGATTGCACTTCCGATTCATTCTAACTTACTAATAATAAGACTAAAAATATGAGAGTTGTTTTTGATAACGTCACCAATTTATATAAAAAAAATCGATAGATTGAGATGAAAAGCTCACGTATATTATTTATATTAATCTTTCAAATTTACTTGAGTAGATACACAGGCAGGGCTGCATAATTTGCCGCTCTAGCGAAAAATAATATTTGCCACCGTTAACAGCGGCCATATTACCATCATTGGTATGAGGTAGTTTTTAAAAAAAAACATTAGTTCCCGAAATCAAACTAAATGTCGCTACGGTACGTTCTTGATTTCCCCATGACAGCCCTTCTGGTTTTATTTCATGTTTACAAGTACATAAATTTGTTTTCAAAACTCAATAAACAAGTCATATTCTATTTGTACTTTTTCGTATTTATATTGATATCGAAGTTTCGAACTTTTCATATTTCAGTTTTTTAATAAATTAGTTAAAAGGAACGGAAATGACTGTCTTTGATCCATTCGTTTTCTGCAAAAATCAACTTTTGCAACAATCGTCATCGAGTGGAGGTGCATTTTTTAGTGTTTTCGTTTTTTTTTTCAATACTTCTTCATTGTCATATGATTTTGTCATAAATATATAATTTTCATATAAGTTAGTCTATTGGGGTTTCTGAAAACTTATAGTACTACTAAAGGAGAATTTATATACAGTCGCGTTAATATATATAGTATGATTGGATGATAACGTTCACTAAATCCAATGTGCACATTGTCGTACCGATATCGGGTGACGACACAGTTTTTGAACTTAAATATATAATATAATTTGTTCATTGCTGCCATGATAACTTCAACTACATTACACTTTTGGAATCACACGGTTACTTTCGACTAATTGCTAGCCAGCTGTTGGTTATATCGTGTCACATACCATACATGCAAATAACCACTGCATCTTCCCATAAAATTCAACTTAATCGTACCTAAATAACCATACATTAGCTTGATACGAGTATTCACAGAGACTTGTGATCATGATTGTGTTAAACTCTTAAAGGTGCCATCTATCAAAAAGACAGAACAACTATAACGCTCTAGTGAGTGGAATATTTTCAACCGACTGCTACGGTGGTACTATCGCTACCGATGGGGCCGTAAGCTGCTCTTTTTACAGCTTATTCGCCAATCAAACACTGTTTAAGCCGTTTATGCATGTATTTACTTTAATTATTAACACATATTAAATGCTTATAAAATAATGTAGTTAAGATTATGTTATATATTTATGACATAATATTTCGTTTCATTAAAAGATGGAGCTGTACATTTAGAATATAGTTATGGTTTGCTTGCAAAAAAAAAGGTATCCTATATCCAATGTCAGTTTTTTTATTAAGAATGATTTTTTTTATTTTTGGAATACAAAACGATGGTCAGTTTATGACGCGGTTTTATTTACATTCAGTACCGCCTAAGTCGCAGGCGCATAACAAATAAATGTGGTCGCAAGAACATCGACTTGTTCGAACAAGACAGGTCAAAACTCGTGTTGTACGCAGAAGATATTTGTATGTGTGTATAAAATTACTTATCGCAACCTTATTAAATTAAAATGTCATCTTGCTTGCGTTTGCGTAAGTAAAGGGACTACTTCGCTCACTGAATACTACAGTGGCACAACTCAAAAAGCATATTTCGAGAGACGGTCTCCGAAGTTATGAAAATTTAATATATTTTGAAAATATATTTTTTTCAGCATAACAGTTAAATCGCTTGTAATATATTATTACTGTTAAGTTTTTTATTTTTTCTTTAAATTATATACGGGATGCCACCACAATGTTGTGGCGTTTTCTCGAAATAATGGATTTTGAGTTGTGCCACTGTAGTATTCAGTGAGCGACTTAATTTGGCCGGTGTATAGTTTAAATTTTTATTCGCCATTTTGTTTTGATTACTTTTCTGAGCGCTTAGTAAGGTAATTAAGTTTTAATTCATTAATTAATCTAACCATTTAAAGTGAATTGTGGATAATTATAACTGTGAGCTGGTCTTTCTGACTGTTTATGTAAACGAATTTTTTTTGGTAACTTAGTTCGATGGTAACCAACAAAAATCAAATGATCATCATCCTGGCCAGGCCAGGCCATGTGGTCAAACTCATTAGAAAGTACTTTGAAACTATTCTGAAAATTGGTAAGTTTTTGCAATATAGGTACATGGTGTATACCCTACCGTAAATCTTTGTGTACGCCCCTAATCGTAACTATACCTATCAATATCGTGTGAGCTGATACATGAGTATTTGTATATATATTGTGTATTCCTATTGACTAGTGGATATATTGAGTATTCCTAGTGAAGGAAACTGTAGACTCTATCGCTACCTCTTATTTTTGCCGCTCTCAGCAATTCCTTGATTTACCCCTCAGAACCGGCTATAGGCCTATAGGATGTATCTAATGGTTTTATTTATATTGATTTACTTAAACAACTATAGCTTTTTCACATAAATAAATTTGCGGCATTGCACATTTTTCAATAACTTTAGTTTTATACCAATAGATACCAAATATCATTATTAGACATGCGCCGAATTGTGGTTTCACCGAATAACCAAATATTATTCGGTTTAATTTTAATCTTTACCGAACCGGATATTTGGCCGGAATTTTTGGGTTTACCTTTTCATAGTTTTGCCACGTGAACAGGCTCAAAAATTAATGTTGAATTGAAATTTCACTGTCATCGTCTCATTTTTATTAACTTTGTTAAACACATTCTTCATTGGATTTCTTTAACTTATAATAAATAATAAAAAGTAACATAAATATTTCATATGAAGTTTAGTTCTTTACGGTGTTGTATAACCTAGAATATAGAAATACTCGTACCGAGTATATTCAGCAAATCAATTAACAATTATTATACAAAATAATAAAAATTAAATTTAACTTAAGTAATATAGTCTCACTTACATTGGTCGACAGGGCTCATATGTTAAGTGAGGGCTATTTCTATGGTCTTTTTCATGGTCAACAAACTGGTTTAGACGAATGAAAATTAGTCATATTTGTAGTTAACTTAAGCTTACACTTCAATAAAAGTTAAGAGGTTTGCTTGCCTCTCTTGCGAATTCAGTTTTATTATCGAAAAAAAAAGTGTTTTTGAAGGCACAAGCGACAGTATGACAATTTTTGAAAACGAGTGCGTTTCTCGAAATAATATTGGCAACCCTAATGAACATTGGTTGACCTTGCCTCAAATTTATTAATAAATAAATAACTTTTTCTTTAATAGTGGACGTTATCCGGCCAGTATGATGTTGATTCTTAAGTCTTTCATCTGCTCATGTTGTATTCCTTTTATCTGGGTCAACAATCGTCTGTAGTGGATTTCCAGAAATAATGCTAGTTACAGCTAAAAGTAAACGAATCTCTGGCAATCGGCCAATTAGAAAAAGATGCGTTACATTTAAAATATAATTATTATTCATTAGATATCATTATTACACTTTACTGTTTATTTTGAGGAGTTGTAAGTTGTAATTAAATTAATTGTGGAGGTTTGATTCATGTTGATAGTTTTGTATGACAATTAAATTGAGAGTATTTTTAACAGACTTCAAAATCCATACGGAAAAGGTTATTTACTCAACTGTATGTATTTTTTTTCGAGAATTTCTCCAAAAAGCGTTAACTGATTTTCAGATGCTTTTATTCGAAAGCTATTTTATTAGTCAGGGAGACGCCTGAGTGATTCGGAAAATCTTTATTATCAACAACACAACGCAATCAAAAATTTTACCCATCAAAATCTTACCAAGGAACATCTATACATTTATCCGCGTTCTCATAGATAATCAATCATTATTTTCTATAACGCGCGGGCTTTGCAGCCCGTCGTGCTAGAGTTGCTGCAGGTCCTCGATATATGAGTCATACGGTCTGCTACATATATAGGATGTCATTTAAAAACTATACCTTAATTAGAATTGTTTAGAGTTTCGTTGAAATCGGCCAAAGTTACATCTTTCGACGAATTTATCTTTTAAAATACACCTTAGTTTAATATTATTTATTCTACAGGATAATTATAAATTGGGTCTTATGATTGATACCGATAGCGCAATTCTTTTATATTTATAGCTTTTTGAAAATAAAATATTCGTATTTAGATTCCAGAAAACAAACATGAAGTGCATTGTGGTAATTAAATTTAAGTAGATACCCGATTTCTGTTCTAGTTCATAGATTTATTTGATATAATAATGAGTTCTGTTAGAATAAATATATACCATAAGCGATAACAATATAACAGTCAAGGAAATCATACTCACGTCATCTGGACGATGTTGCGATTCTTCCCAAAGCTCTGAAATCGGCATATTCTTGAAATCATTCAAAGAAGAATGCTTTAAGTCTTTCTTCATAGACTTCTTTTTTCTTCTAGGTGGCATCGGTAGAGTCTGAGATTGAATCGGCAAACTTTCTGGGTATTCTATTACGTCATCATTAGCATACTCGTGAATTGAATGCAAATCAACAGATGGTACTAAATTTAGTCTATTGAATTGGTCTAGTTCTTCTCTGTTTTCTTCATCGATACCCTCGGTGACGTGCTCCACCTGATGGTGTTGATCCTCTAATACGCCTAAATCTACTTCACTGAACTGCATACTAGCATTAACACTATCATCAATGTATTTCATGGATTCAGTTTCCTTTTTCTTCCGTTTAGCTCTAGATGGTCTCACAGGAGGGAATGTGTAATAACCATCATCTTTATCATTCAAATCCTCATTAGAATATCTAATTTGCTCGTTCTCATCCATCATAAGCTCTGGATCAGCATCGGTTTCATTATAATACAAGTGTTCATCGTTAACCCCAGAATTGCTCCCCATATATGCGAGGACATTGTTTGGGATTTTGAACGCTTGTCGTATTTCGTCGCTCAAGTATTCTCTAACTTGAATATTTTCGCGAGAAATTCCTCTCGGTCGGACAAAAAATTCGTCATTATTAATTTCGTTAATATGAGTGTATTCTTGGTTAGACGGTGAAATATTAGGGATAGATGATGCATTGTGTTTTTCATTGAAATTAGATAAATCTCCTGCTTCATCTAAATATTCTGTGTCCATTTTGTCAAAGTCATATGTGGTCTCGAACCGTGTCTGGATATCAGGTTCACTTTCGCAAATTTCTTGATTTTCAATATTACCATATTCTCTTGGCTGTTCTGGTTCATCCGGAGTATAAGATAACGGTTCTTTGTTAGTTTTTTTGACACGAGTAAAAGTAAAAGTAGGTGGCGGAGTTTCATCTCTATTTAATGTTGGTGATGATGATGTTTTTTGAAGTTCGGTTTTCTTCTTTTTATTGAATAATCTAGGAAAAGTTTTGGCTTCAAAATCAACTATAGCTACATTCGGTGAATTGCTGCGATTATCATCAGTTTCAGTTTCAACTTTATATTCCTTTCTTCTTCCTAAACTTGGAAAATTTATTTTAGGTCTCTCAGGCATTTTGAATTTGGGCAAATCTGGAACACTAAATTTTGGTCTATTTGGCAAGGTAAATTTTTTACGATCACCAAAAGATAATTTTTCAGATATATTAATTTTCTTAAATTTGGGTCTATCAGGTAAACTAAATTTTCTTCTTTCTGGTAAATTAAATCGTGGTCTCTCGAGTTTTGGACGCTCAGGCATTTTAAATTTGGGTCGATCAGGAAGACTTATTTTTGGTTTATCAGGCATATTAAATTTATTGGATTTTATATTTTTCAACTTAGTTTTTAACTTTCCTGCCTGAGTTTTAAGTTTACCTGTACTTTCTTTTATTCGTTGTTGAATTTTACTGTCAGCATTATCTGAATTTTTTTGACGGCTATCTCTTTTAAGAGGTAAGTTTTCTAATGCAGATGAATCAACTTGACTTGTACTCACTTCACATTCTGTTCGCGACACCGTCGAAGGTGTATTAACGAAAAAACGGTCTTCAATATTCCTTTGTAACAATTCCGCATTTAAGATTTCATCTGTTTTATCATCTCGAAGATTTTCTTTTTCTTCTTCTGTATGATCTTCTTCATCAGTTGTGTGTTGTAAGAATTTCCTTTCTAATGAGGTCGTACTAGACAGCTCGTCTTCTGCTTTTACCAAGGTCGAGTTTTCTCCCACACTAGTAGTATAAACTACATTTGGTGGGGGCTTTTCGATGATTTCATATTCGTGATCACTGAAAACAAACGTGTAAATTTAAACACATTCAACGTCTGATAATAATTTCGCAGTGCTTAAATAATATGATAATATAGAGCTTTGCAAACAGTGTATAATTACTAAGTCTTTCGCTGTGCATTGGTAAGAAATGTTTAATAATTACATAAAAATATGAATGACATATTGCAAAAGCTTATTTGTAGTAGAAAAATGAGTTATATTTAAACTACAGCAAACGTTATTCCTGTCACAATGAGGCCAAGCAGCGGCGCGCTCGTTTTAGCTACAGCAACCGCCGGGTAAAACTTGCAGTAGGTTCGAATTTATTTAGTGGCTCGTAATTACAATCATAAAATGTCAACGAAATCATCAAAAACGTGTTGTTTATGCTTACCTCTCATACGAAATAATATTACTAGCTCGCGACGTTGGTCGAGTGCCTACTGGATTGACTCTTTCCGGCAGCAATGAATCACATTGAAAAAATTGACACGCACAACGAACATCCGGTGTGTACAGTTGCACGCTGCCTTCTCTTGTCGGCCTCACAGATTTTTCAAGTGGGGTCCCTCCTTCGGATGTCCATCGCCGAAGTTTACTCATAACTATTAACTACCGAAAAGATTCCCGAATCCAGGACATGCTAGCGGCTAATTCCCGATAAATTATTTAAAAAAGTCATTTTTTCTAAATCATAAAACGCGTTTGTGAAAGCCGGACAGTAAATGAACTAATCACTGGCGTGAAAGCAGCCGCGAGCACTGATGACAATTTTAAAGAGCCTGCCCCATGTACAGGAAGCCGATTCGAATGGTGCTATATTTAACAAACGTCAGAAGCTGGCGCGTTCGCTTTGCGCATGTTGAAATACTGTTATTGTGTCATAGAAACGAATTATATAGTTACTCACAAAAGATAATAATAATGAAAGAAATTACCTGCTGGGCTTAGACCATTCTTGTTCTGATGCGTTGTTGATATATTGATTATTCCTTTCAAGAGGACTTGGACTGGGTGAAGACTCTATTGGTATGGTAGTGGTTTGTTCAATAGTAACCTCTATATCTTCGTCTATTATTTCTGTAATAGTAATATTGGGTGATTCATTTCGTGACCTGGTTTCATCAAGTTGATTTTGGAAAATTTCATCTACGTTGGGCTCATCAGGATCCATTTCGTCATCTAATAATATTGCTTCTTTATTGGTGTCATCTTTTTTATGTAATTTTTCCATAACATGTTCTTCTGGTTTCAAAGAAGTAGCGTCGTCCGCTACCAAACTGGGGTCAAACGATGATACTGATTTTTTTTCAGATATGCTTTCATTTTCTTTGTTACTACTGCTTTTATTATCATCTGATTTTTCAAGGTCATATTTGTCTACGTCTGGAGAAAAATGTAACGATTTCTCAGTTTCAATATTTTTTGATTCTTCTACGTCTTCATATATATGTTCCTTTTTTTTTCTAGGTGGTGGCGTATTAACATTCATTGATTTACTCATCTCATCAGAGTCACCCAATTTTATCGCACTAAATTTTTGTCTTCGTACAGCTCCTGGAGAAAATCTGAGTTCTCTTATTTCCTGAATATCCTCATTCTTTTTCCGTTTTGCTATTGGTGACTTTTCATTTTCAGTTTTTTCGAGTTTTTGTAAGGTCTTATCAGCTAAATGCTTAATTTTATTCACAAGTGGATGGCAACATTTTGTTTTTTCACGTGTCTCTGATACACCAATATTGTACTGTTGTTCTGGTACACGTCTCTTTAAAATACCTTTTGGAGAAATATTTTTGGGTATTTCAATAGGCGTGGCTAAGCGTGTACTTGTTTGACTCTCTGGTCTTTTCACGATATACGATTGGGTAGCTTGATTCATATTTTCGTCATCAGAATCTAAAGATACTTCTTTAGAAAAATTTGGTATATGTACACCTTCATCCTCACCTTCTTCACCATGTTTTCTACTGCTACCCGGAGAAGAGTCAAGAATGAGGATCTTCTGGACATCCCTATCGACAGGTGAATGTGTCCTGGACTTTGAAAATTCACGCGACATACTTCTTCTTGGTGTTGTTTCTCTGATAATATCCTCAGCTGTAATTTCGCCTTCTATTGGCTCTTTCAGAAGATGAGTCCAAGGATAACCGCCAGCCTCACGAGCTCTTTTCAAATCTTCCCATTGATAAGTTTTTATTGGCACCGGTGGGATATTTTTCTCATTATCTGGTGACAATTCAGATTCCATATGTTGAATTATTCAAGTAACAAAATTGTGTTATGTCAACAAGTAGTATTGTTTATGAAGTTCATATGGTTGGTTATGTGTATTTTTGATAAAATACCTGTGTTATGATCCCACACGGACCAACGTTTACACTTTTTCACCGTAAAACTAAGAACACAACATTTCGTTTCAATGTAAGCTTCAGCAACTGGAAACACGATGTGTTTGCGTGGGCTTGTGTGGAAATAGGTGTGAATAACTTGTGTATGAGCGTTGTTGAGAAGATATTTTGGACTAGTGCAGTGGTTACCTTGAATCGTTCGAACCACCGCAACATGGGGGGTCACGTTTAAGTATTCCTGACATTTGTTTATATCCACTCAGGAAACACACACGACGACGTTTTTTCTTGTTTTTTTTTTTATTATGTATATGTGAAATGATCTGTGATCGGTGCAAAATCTCAGTTCAACTGGCCGCTCGGCATGATTCGAGCAAGCGTGCTAAATATAAGATTGAGCATGAATTTATTTTGGGTCACCATTTCGCGTCATCGGCAGTCGGGCGCTCATCAAGTGTTTCTACAGTCACTACAGATAGAAACTCGTATTGTGATTATTCAAATTCATAACTGATACTAGTATTATTTAGTAACAAAGAAACTAAATGATATAATAACAATCTTATGAATACTCACCGTGCCTTGAACGATGTCCGAATGGCACTCGATCTGTATAACCAGTACGATACGCTTCAACGCGTGACGGTTTCATTACCAATTAGCTAAATACTTATGTAATAAATATATATGGGTAATGTTAAGGTAATGCAGTATTATGTGTTTTCCATTTTATTCTTAAATGCCACGTTCGATAAAACATTGCTTGAAAATTAATACCGTATGCGAGCCAGGAGTTTCAGTATTCGCTCCAGGATATATCTTAAGAGTAATAAAGATAATTTTCAATCAATTTTAAAGCAAGAAATATATACATTGTTATTAGAAATGAAATTTATACCATATCTGTGAGGGTAGAGGGCCTATTCAAAACGTTGATTATTTTTTATAGAATAAATATAAAAATTCTCTATTAGCTCATTTCTATTCAATTCAACCATTTGAAAGATATTTGATAAATATTTGAGTCACTTTTTGGCTTGATTGAGACCTTTAGAGACCTTTATTTTATAATGCTAAAACCAAAGGTCAAACAGGTGACCAAAAATTTATTACCCGTGTTCAGAAGGCACGTTAAGAAGTCTCAAACGAATATATAATATATGACAACTAATGGGCCCATTATCCGATTTGATTCGATTCCATTCATAAGGAATGTCAGGCATTCCTTAGCAGTGGGGAAATTAATAGGCTGATGATGATGACAATAACGCTTTACGAATAATTCTTAAAAATAAATTATTTGCGTAAAACTTCATCGTTGATTCCGATTTATCTTACTGACTCTATTTATATAATTTAACCTAATTTTACACTAAGATAACTTTTAATTTCACGACACATAATATAAGTGGATATTTATAATTCGGCGGTATTATATTTTTATTTTATAAAAAGAACAGGAAGAAAAATCTTTCACTAAAAAAAATATCAGAAGCGACTGTAACGCTTTGTTCTCTTCATAGAACCATGATCCAGTATCAAGTTTAGCACACGCTAAGGGTGACAGGACATTTAGGAGTGAGTTTAATTTTCTTTCTAATGACTTGTGATATTTAGGTGTAGCCAAAGCGTTTCTCGTGAGTGCGCTGCAAATTTTAAAAGGGGTGTTCATAGGATGGCTAGCCAATACTTTATTAAATCGAGCTTCTCTGCTCTTCGAAAGGCACGTAAAGGTGACCGTCCATATGTCAGCATGCACGCACCGGCCGTACGCCACGCAGCAGATTATATTAAAAATGTCTATGACGGCATTAGTATAATTCCGACGTCAAAACTGACAGTCATATTTTTTCATTGAAGCACGTTTAGCCGTTAACAACCACGAATTGAAACCGCGGGTTCATGGGGTGGGTTATTGCCCGTTTTCCCTATTCCAATCACAAAGGCCCAGCCCCAGCAGTGGTGACAATGTAATGATGATGACGTATGCGAAGGAGCAAAATACATTGTTTTAAAGATATCTATCATATTTACAGTTAAAAATAAATAATATCTATATCATGCCCGACTGTACCACGTTGATAAATGGGTATCTACTATTACTTTTCTTTGCTATTGTGCCATTTATTGGTCATTGTGGACCATTTGAATAAATCCATATTCAAACTATCGTGTATAACTTTTTCTTTATTTATAACATACCTAGTTTTAAAAGTTAACAGTTAAATGTAAGAGAGAACATGTCACGCTCAATAAAAAACAACTATTGAAGTCAAGATATTGTAATTAATAGATTGGATGGAAAGCTTCTATGTAAATAACATCTAATTATATATAAAAACAATCCATGAGTTTACAACTAAATGTGTTAATGTTACGTAGTAGGAATAAAACAATTTTCAAAAAAAGCGAATAGCGTTAGGTTAAACATTTTACATTTCAATAGGCTCTTGTATTGGAGGATTTTGAATTGTAAAATTATTAAAATTTATTAACTGACGAGCAAAAGTTCCGGGTCACTAAGAAATGCAATGATATCTTTCAAAATATCTCTCACAACCAATTGAAAGAAATTGTAGGTTAAAGACAATTTATAATGCAGACCGGGAACACAATTAACAAAAAAATACTTTCGGTTGTAGCTTATCGATTAAATTTTCCCCACATTTAGAGTAAAAAAAAATTCAAATCCAAAGACGATTTAACAAATATATAATATATATATATATATATATATAATATATAGAATTTTTTGTTAAAAAATATATTTAATAAGGACTTTCGATGGAATACGATTTCTTATAAACTGGCCCATGAAGTATCATTTAATATATGGTTTAATCTTTAATTAAATAACATTAACCTTGGTATAGTAAAATTACTGTTTTTTTTTTCTAAACTGACATATTGTCATTTTTGTACTGACTGATCATTTTCTTTATGTTAAGAATTAAAGAGCTGGACCAATAACTTAACTTTAACATTTTTCACATTGAAAATGACACATTTTTACATTGAGTACTATTGAGTATTTTTTTAATTTCTATCAGGTATTTAAATCAGTGTAATTTAGTATAAAATAAACGAAAAATATAAATTATTGAGATTTTGTTTAAAATATCTATGTCTATCATATTTATAGTATCGATGTGTATTCATATTTATCTATTCCTTTCAATAAACTCCTATTAATAGAATTGTAGAAAATTAATTTCCTGTTTATTCCTGTTTCCTGTTAAATTAATGACCAAAAACTTTTACTAGTCAGTTACCGTTATGCTAGGATTTAAATAATTAATAGATACATTTTGGTAATATATTTGTAAATTATATTGATTTTAATACAGACTAAATAAATTTCAATCGTAATATATTGTAACAAATTAAATTAATATCAATTAAACGTATTTCAATATATGCCAATTGTTAAGGTAACCTGTATTCTAGATTAGGCTTTAATACACCGAGAAAAATCTTAATACTATATTTCAGTAATTTAAACTAGTTTTAAAAGTTTCACTAACTAGGGAATCAATCACAAATAAGGGAATATCAATGACTTACATAAATACGTAAGTAAGGGAAAACCGGCCAGAGTGGACACCTTAAGCTAGTACTGCGGAAAACGTATCTTGCTAAAGATTGGATCATTTGCATCTGAATCAGTGCAAAGATTCGAATCAATTAGTTCTCAAATAGATTCAAGAGCAGAGAGCAAGTACTTAATCGTATTGCCAATGTATTTAAAAATTACTTAATGCTTTAAATTGGCCTTTGATATGGATTGTTTGTTTTAAAAATGTAATAAAATGACCCTGAAACTTGTGCTGCAGACTAATATTTCGCTCGTTTCAGTGAACAGAATACTAAAATATTATCTTAAGGTAAAGGGTCATAGCCGTAGAAAAGTTCACTTTTTAAACGATCATCTTCGTAAGTTACAACGCAAACGTTGTCCATTGCTGCTGAGAAGACATGATGCCAGGAACGAGAAAATTCTTATTTTTTTTAATAAGAGCTCAGGGCCTGCCGTCCCACCTAAACTTGGAGTCACTGAAGTGAACCCTTGTTCGAGAAGCAAAGCGAATTCCGCTAGAAAAGATTCGTTCTGTCATTGATGACTGGCCAAATCATCTAAGGGCCTAAACACAAGAACAAGGGCGGTCATTTTGAATAAAATATGTACTATATTGTTGATTATCTATTTAATGTTAACTGAATTTATTTTAGAAATAAAAGTTAATTATTCAAAAAGTTACGCAACTTTTCTTTCGTGTCAAAATTTATGAACACACGAGGTACACATACTTAATGCAATTTACTCCACAGAAAAAAAATACTATATAAGATTCTAAAACATGACATTAAAATCGGTTTTTGCATTCTAAATTTAGATCATAATCTATTATTCCAAAACAAATCTTTCCTACAGTCGCTCAGTTCTGCTCAATTCATTCTTTCGTTCATTCTTATCAGCGAGCGACTGATTCACTGATCCATTCGGAGTAAACTTTGAAATTCGATCACTGCATCATTTTACTCAACCGATTCAGAGTCGATTTAGTAAAGAGTTACACACACCTTAAACTTTTAAGGATCGGGACAAATCCAATAGTAATAAAAAAGACATGTACACTTAAACCTTAACCAACATTTTTGAAAATAAAGTTGCGTTTAATCGTGTATCATAAGAAATGGGTGGTGGAGTACCACCCATTGCAGATGATACAAGACTGCAAAGATATTAGTAAATATTTTTGCCTAATCTTCCGGTTAAAATGGATAGAACCTGTTAACATGGTTAATTAAGATTCAGTTATATCATGCGAAATATAAATAACGCAACTATTTCAAATATATTTTTCTTTCCGTGGATGCCTGATTGCCGTGAGTTACGGCAATCACACTGGATTGCTGCCAATAAATATTTAAAAAATTGTAATGCAATTTGATTCACTAAGACGTTGATTTAACATAATTTTCATAATTTTATGTGATTCTGTACAGTCCATTAGACAATAAAACTTAACAGAATTTTAACAAATTCAATATAAAGTCAAATCGAAGAAATTAACCCAATATACTGCCGTCTCGAGCGTAAACCGCAGCAATAGCAAAAACAAGAATCAAGAAAACGCGTGTGAAATTTAAATATTATGTATCTATAACAAATCACTGTTTATGACAAAATTTTGAATGCAAAGTGTAAGAAAAGTTAGAAAACTAAAATAATTCACAAATTTCAACTTGCAAACATGACAATTAAATTAATTACTTAGTCACTATAAATTTTTAACCCCTATTACTGCTTCTAGTTTTTTTTTTTGCTAAATCGTTTGTGTCGCAGTAAAGTTAACTAATAAAATGCAGTAAATAGGTCATAATTAATACTGTATATTAGATGATATCTTAGCGAATTCTTAAATTTAAAAATTTGGCGCCTTGATTTTAAAAGAAACAAAAATAAAATACTATTAGTGG